CCTCTCTGTTAGAAGCAAGATGATTAGAGAGAGATGAAGAAGAGAGTGGGAAGAGGAAATGTAACTGAGAAAAGAAGAATTTGTTCACTTGGATACTTTCACATCTTATAAAGATAGCATCAGGGGGGGGGGGGTGTTTCACAAAGATCCTAAGTAGAACTTAACACTAAGTTGGACTTAAAAATTATGGACAGCCATTAGAGTCTTAAAATGAAATATATTCAAAAGCAGAAATTCAAGTATTTCAGACTTTTTTTATAAATTCCACATCAAGAACATGAAATCTCCTTGATGATAGAAAATATGAATGATTTGAATCAACATTTTATGCCTTTCAAAATAACTTTTACAAAATATTTTCAAAGATGCTAACGGCTTTCCATAATTATTAAGTCCAACTTAGAGATAAGTTCAACTTAGAATCTTTGTGAAACACCCCCCTGATATGCCAAATAGTGGATGCTATGTAGATGATAGCTGGTCTCGACCCCTCGTTAGGAAATCATTTTTAAACAAGAAAGGAAGAGAGAGGGGGAGTGAGAGAGAGAGAGAGAGAGAGAGAGAGAGAGAGAGAGAGAGAGAGAGAGAGAGCAAACAAGTTGCTGTTCTACCTACTGAATAATACATCTTTTAAGGAATACATTAGTCATGCATAATGGTTAATGAGTATAGAATAGATATTTGTCATTTAATTCTCCACCAGTGTTATTAGCTGATCAAAATATTAGCTCAAAATGTATATTATCATTATGACAAGTATTTCAGTAAAAACAAAGAAAAACTACATATGAGTATAATTATAAATTGCCTATAAATTGCATTTAAAAATTGCTTATGAATATAGATTTTCACAGCATGATGAGAACACATTACAGAATACAATTTTTTGGGGTGTATTTTTATTGACATAACTTTATTTCTGTTTTTAAGCAATACCTTATTTTCATATTGAACACTGTTTTTTAATGAATAATATTTAGATATCGGATGAAAGCATCAACAGAACAATTTTAGTCATTTGTTTCTTATTTAATTATCTGTATGCTTGTATAGGATCTCATATGTTCCAAAAGATAAGGTCCAAGCATTATAGGAATCTCTTAATGTCAATTTGTTTAAAAATCCATTTCTCTTCATTTCAATGCATCATTAGGAGCTTCATTACAAAGATTGATTTGAACGCGTTCTTTCAAATCTCAACTTCCGCTCACGTTTCCCATAAAAAGGGATTGTGGAATCGGGGGCGCCGCTCAAAATATGCGAAGATACGGCGATCGTCGGATTGGCTTCCCTTTCCTACCTAAGTAGCATGTATGACAATTCTAATAGTCTCTGCATTGTGTTACATGCGCAGTCTCTCCGTGCCTTGCTGTGGAGTTGGGACAATTACTAGCGATATGTTGATGCTGTGTGTGGTTAAGGCACACTGGGGGTAATAGACACACAGACAGACAGACAGACAGACAGAGAGACGTTTGGCAGGGAATAGAAATGGAAGTACAGAGGGTGGGTTTCACATGCTGACATGGAACTGTTCTGCTAAGTTCACCAAGCAAGTCACCCCCTTTCTTTTGTTAGTGCCTTGTCCTCTTTGTTTCTTACACCCCAGATAACTGTTTATACCAAGAAGAAAAAGGGCATTAAACTCCATGTAAAACTATATGTTTTAATGCCCTTCCAGGGCACTGAGTGTACTAATATATGTCTTTTGTCTTCTTTAATAATCTTTTTAAAGTAGAATTCAATTTTTATTCCAACTCTTCATTTTGTTAAAACATGAAATTTATAATCTGAATGGATCTTATGAAGAAATTAAACCCTTTTTGAAATTCAAGAGGGAAGAAAACTTTGTTCTAAAAAATATATATATTTATGAGATGCAGTGTGATAATTTGGGCTGATTGAATTGTCTATGAAACCAAAAGTATGAAAGATCTCAATTTTGTGGTTGTTCCATTTATTTAGAAAACTGATTCCCTTTACCAGATCCTGGTAATCAGTCATTGGAATAATATAATTGCCAACTGAGGACCAGAAATTCATTAACTCTCTGTTGAAATAAAAAAAGTTATTGCCCTTCTGGCTCACAGCATTCCAGATTTTCCTTTCGGGGCCAGAACAGCATTAACTTGGTATAAAATGACATAAGTTAATAATAATAAATAATGATAGGCATTTCTATAGCGCCGCCAATCTAGAAATTCTATTCCGAGGCGCACTAATTGTAACCCCGGCTTTAGCCAAGCTGCCATTACAGCGCTCCAGCATTTCAAGGAATTAATTCCCGCCAGGTACCCAATTACCTCACCTGGGTCGAGTGTGGCAAATGAAGACTAATGCCTTGCCAAAGGACATTAGTGCCATGTCGGGATCGAACCACGACCTTTAAGTTTCAAGTCCAGTGCTTAAACCACTCAACTACAACACTTCTACAACATCCATCTTGGTCTGAAGAGATGTTCTTGTGAATGCTGGCAGCTTTGTATGTTGTAAGTTGTGACAGTTAACAGGTTGATCTCGTGTAGCGATGAAGTGATGGAGTAGAGACTAAATTCAGTGCTACATTTTCATCAGTATCCTGTGAAGACTGATTTTCCTTTCATTGAAGGCTATGATTTTTTCCTACAATGAACGGCCCCTTCTACTCCTACGCAAGATGCATTTCTACCCGAGCGAACGAACGAACCCATCTCCCTATCGCAATCTCTTCCGACAACGGCAGGAGAACCTGTTGGGCCCCTCACTTTATGCCTTTAAGGCTTGCAGACTATTTTCGATGTAGCAAAATTGGAAACAAACGGTGTTGGTTTTCACACATGAACCAAGATAGCGGTGCGAGGAACGGCCCATTCTTAAGTCTGTGCGCAGGTAGGTAGCTTCTGTTCATTCTGCATGTGTATGTATGAACTAGAACGCAGAGGATGCTGGCCTGAAGGGGGAAGGGGAACGTGTCATCTTTAACGCTTTGGATGTATTTACTCCGTGAAACCTGCCTCTCTCTGACCCATTGCTTGTGCATTAGATGGCATAAAAGAGGCAATAACCATAAGCTGAAAGCTGCTAAAATGCATCCCAAGGTCCAGCTTTATGAAATGATGCTGTTAGGAGACTTTGTTGTTGTTTTTTCTTCTCGGCAGTCCATTTCAATGTAGATTTGTTATTTCCATTTGCGGGGTAAATTTGTTGCGTCTACGCGTTATTTCCCTGCATCTTGCTGTAATGTCTGACGATCATTGCTCGTTCTAGCTGAAGATTGGGGATGTATTTCCATCATGAAAGTCAAATGGACTATTTACAGGATGCTTTGTAATGCAGTAGACAGCAGCAAACACATCTCCATCAACCTTGTGATGGGATACATTGATGTTTGTAAACTGGCATTTAAAGTCAGACTCATACTTTTGTGATTGCTGGCCCAACATTCACTAAGCATTTCAGTTTTAAGTTTATGATTAAAGCTAAAATAAGGTCTAATGTTTTATCCAAGGTAAGAGTTAGGAATTCAGTTAGTGTAGGTCAGGGACCCCGGAGCAATTGTTGCTGGGATAGGTGTCATATGAATTTGGTTTCACAAGGACATAGCCCAAACAGTTAATAATAATATACACAAATAACTAGCTTAAAAACTTTTATGTAAGACTTTTCATCACTATAACCTCCCTCTGTAGGTGAAAGCAGTTTATCACACAAACTGTTTTTTGTTGTTGTTGGTATTCTTGAAAAACAGAAAAGGGTGTAGTATAGGGTTTGATACTTTGGGATGGATAGCTGTGCTATTTATTCCAGCTGTTAGGTATTCTTGGGATATTCAAAACCGATGTATGGAGTAAAAACTATTTAGATTCACTTTTAATGGACTGCATTATCAATAGTTCCAAAAAAGATACTGGAAATCATAGTACCTCCCCCATTTTTCTTAAGTTCTTATAGATTTTTTCTTCTTCTTCATACAGGTACCTTCCTCTTTCCTTTCATTCATTCACCATACCCTCCCTCACCCCTTCTCCCCCTCTCTCTCTCTCTCTCTCTCTCTCTCTCTCTCTTTCCCCCCCCCCCCCCTCTCCCCCTCTCTCTCTCATTCAGCCCATTTGAATGACAGTACAGTGTGTGTAGCAATGTCTAGATATTTCAATTTTCCATTTCAATTGAACTTTCATTATAAGCGAAAATGAGATTGATTGTTTCTCTGCCCCTATCTTGTCTTTTTCCCCTTGAGAAATTACCCCTGGCTTGGGAGGGAGGGGTGGAGGGACCGGGGGGGGGGGGGGGGGGGGGGGGAAGGGGGAGAGTGTTGACACAATCAACTGCAATTACTCACCTCGACTAATGCTATTCCTGTATTTGATTGTGTGTAGGAAAGAAAACATTGGTGAAAGAAGAAAGCAATGAATTACTGATTGAAATAGAAAGAAGATTGAGAAAATGTTGTCTATTCAGAGGCCAAAGAGCGCTAACTCTGTGGTATATTTTATGAGTTAATGCCACAAACAATGTGTAATGGGAGACTGGATCTGGGGAGTTGGATTGATAAAGGGAATACAAAATAATTAGATTATAAATGAAAATAATAGATATATGAGAGAAAGAAATGAATTGATGAAGGCAGAGAGAGAGAGAATGAGGATGGAGGATGGAGGAATTTGTTGTGAAAGACAGGGGTTTAAAAATTGTATCAATAATGGATACAAGTGATGAATGGAAGGAAGGAAGGAAGCAATTGTGTGAAATAACGACATCAATTGTCAATAATTTCATACAATCCTTTTTTCTTTTAAAGCTTTTCGTCGAGAATAACATTTGTTTAGATAAACTTTTCTATGATGAATATATAACACAATTTTCTCTTTTAAACCCTTTTCATGTCTTCCTATAATAGCTCTGTGCAGTATACCCAGAGCTAAATTATCCTCTCTTCTAGTATTTTTTATTTTGTTTGAACAGGGGTTTATTCTCTATAACTATAACTAAATTCCCTTTCTGTTTTATTTTTGAATTTTCAGAGTATTTTCTCTGAAGTGTTTGAGCTGGAGCAAGCCGACCTGGAAAACAAAGGACCTCACAACGGCAATGGGTAAGCTCTTTATTTCATGGGGGGGGGGGGGGAATGGGGTTGAGGTAGGTTGGGGGAGGGGTGTGGTAGGTAGGGAGGGGAAGGGGAGGGGGTGGTGATAGCCAGTGACTGAGAGAGGGGAACAAGTTTAGATTAATATAATGAATACATAATGCTTAGCAAAATGTACTTGCACAAAAAGATGCGTCCAAAATTAATATGGCATAATGGTAGCAATGTTGGTGAATTTAAAGATACGTCTCTGTGAGACAAGTGCAATTTGTGAAGCTATGTCAGCAAGATGCTTCACAAACATCATGATGCACAATCATCAATGTTTCCTACAGTAGTCTACATTTTAGTAAAGCTTCGGAAGATTATATTTTCAAAAGAAGAAAATGCCATTCTAGCACCGGTTATTATCATAAACTGTACTGGATGCAGATCACTGAAGAATAAAATGCTGTTGAAAGGAAGAAGAGTTATGGTGTTGGTGAAGGCGAGAAGTCAATTTGATTAGAGTAGAGCAAAGATTAGTTTTGTGTAACAGCAATCGGCACACCATCCACAGATACTTAGGGACTCTCAAGGACGTCCGACCAACATCAGTGCTCTCCATTCACGCCTGCTTACCCTTTCAAATTGGCAACGCATAGCGTCGACGAGAGGAGTGGGCAGATGCCCTTATGCTGAGCCCATTTGGAAGTCAGGGGGCTATCTCCAAATGCTCTTTACCGTGCATAAATCAGCATGGGAAACAGGACTGTTCGAAGTGAGGATTGAGCATTTCTGCGGTTGAGGCTGTTATATTGGGATGCACATCCTGTTACAGAAGTAGGCAGAGATGGAGGAATGGAATTATGGCTTTATATGTTCTAGGTTTCTAGGAATGTTAGTTGGGAAGTATGAGATTCATTTAAAAGAAGAATGATGCAAATAGATAATTGATTAACAGAGGGCAAGTAGAGAGGGGGAAAGAGGGAGGAGGGGAGGGGAGAAGAGTTTGATATATAATAGATTAATAGAGGAAAAGTGAAGATGTGGAGAAAGGGAGGAGGGTGAGGGGAGTAGAGGAGAAATAGATATATTTACAACTTTACTCCCCAAATGTGTTGAAGGGGTAAGGTAGATCAGATGAGGATGAAGATGAAGATGAGGAAAGGAGAGGGTAAAAACTACTCATAACCAATAACGAAGAAAAGGAGAAAGAGATAAAAGGCGGAGAGAGAGAGAGAGAGGAGTGGGAGGGAGTGAGGGAGGGGAAAAGAGAGAGAGAGAGAGAGAGAAAAACAAAAGGAGGAAGATGAGAAGAAGAGGGTAAAAATGATACATACCCTATGCAGAATAAACCTTGTACATTAGGATGCCTACAGACATAGAATCATGTAGTCATAAGTAAAACATGAAATATATCAAACAGAGAGGAAAACTTCCTCATTATGAACAAGAAATATGGTAATTTTCTTTTGGATCCCCTCTGAAATGGGAAAAAAAAATTTCCGCTCCTTCTGGCGTCTTCTTTTTTGTCCTTGCGAGCCCATTGAATTAAGCATTTATGGCATTTGATCAACCCATTGCACAGACGAGTTGGAATTGGTCCCGTTTAGCTTGACGGTGAATATTTGAGACAGGATTGCCCAAAATGAGCAGACCTTGGAAGGTGTACTATTAATGCATGTGGAAATTACAGAGAGGAATAAGGGAGCTTAGTTTTAATGCCATTTGGTTTTTGTGCATGGGTATGAGTAAACGAACGACCATTTTCTCTCGGTATGCTTTTCATCGAATCATGTACACTGTTTTAAACACTGTAGCAAAAGCATTCATTTTTTTAATTATTACTTCCTGCAGACTGCATAGATGAATAGAAGGTAACCTTGAGATAAAACATCTGGTAATTTTTTAATTGAATTCTTCACAATTTTAACATTTCTGATTTGGTATGTATGATTTAATCATGAAGCATAGTGGATTAAATCTAACTTTGTCAAGTTTGTTTTCACTTTTAACTTGTGTCTAGTTTCCCCCTTTACTATTCCACACATTATGATACATCATTTGTGTATTGAAAACATACTGATCACATATTACAGTAACAGAGAACAAACAAAGGGCCTTAACCCATTAAGAACTGAATTCTCTTATTCCCATAGGCTTAATAGAGAGACCACCCTGTTTGCATGGCGATGGGTTAAAATGATTCTTTTTCGTGGAATGAGGACCATGTATGACGACGGGTATCTCTTCATCCCTGATTAGTGCATGCACCAATTAGCCTAAGGAAGGCCAAACGTAATGTTGAAGGGGATGGAGCCAGATTTAAGATTACATTAGCCTTCTCACAAGTCTAATAATAATAATAGGCATTTCTATAGCGCCGTCTATCTAGAAATTCTATTCCGCGGCGCACTGATTATTACCGCAGCTTTGGCCAAGCTGCCACTAAAATGCTCCAGTTTTTAAAAGAATTACTTCCTGCCAGGTACCCATTTATCTCACCTGGGTGGAGTGGGGCAAATGAAGATTAATGTGGATTTATACATCACAACACAATAGCTGCATTTACACTGGAAGCAAACATCATCAATTTTTCTCACCTGTGTTTCGTCGGTACTTGCTAAATAACTACGCGCAAACATGACGAAAAATAGTTATACAAAAATCTGCCTCTGGAGTATGTTTTTTTTTAATGCCGGCAGAAATTTAACTGATTTTTGCATTGTAAATGCACGCTCTCAAAACATGGGTAAATAATTTGGTCACGTGACTCTTCTCGCTTCCGTGTGGTCACATGCAGAGCAGCGACAGTTCAGGCATACGTACTACTCACACAAAAAAACTGGATTGAGCAAACAACATAAGCTTTTAATGGGTTTTTTCCAGTAGTGTCAGTGGCAGTCCCATAAATCAATGGTTTTTCAAAATGGTGTTTTAGCTGTGTAAATGTGCCTAATGATTACTCATTTGACCATCTCCATGTGGTTCTATTGTTTATTTTACCAGACTGCAAAGAAAGAATGTGTATGCTTGTAAATCAGCAACTAGGAGGCCGATGGCTTTAGGTCCTCTCCGAGAGACCTGGGGGTGTTTCATAAAGAGTTTGTAAAGTTATGCGTGACTTTACGAACGACTTGTATATGAAGTGCCAGATAGGATGCCCAAAGTTTTTTCTGATATGTCCAATAACCTCAATTAAATTATGGCAAAAAATATACTTTACATTAAAAATGGTTGTTATGATAAGAATGTTAATCTACATCTGCACATTTCAACTTAATAAATAATAATCAATAATGATTGAGCATCCCATTTAATAAAAAATATATGTCCGTAAAGTCATGCGTATTGGAGTTTATCTTTAACCACTGAGCCACCCTGCCTTTTTTTAAATTTTTTTTGTTTTTTTTGTTAGGAGTTTGGATTTCATCACAAGGGCCATACGTCAGTCCTACACTAGAAGGTTTACCATCATGGGGAAATGAATGGGTGTGGTCTGTGTACCTGTAAGAGTGTCATAGTCCAGTGGTTTGATCACTTGGACCTTGGATGGGAAGGTCATGGGTTCAACTCCCAGAATACTGATGACCTTTGACAAGTTATTAACCTACATGTACATTAACCACTCTATAACTAGGAGAGAAAAGCGGGACTTGGTAACATGGTGAAAGCCCTTTGAGTGACGTCACCCTGTACCCTTGAATGTAGTGGTCATATGGCAGGAATATTCCCCAGGAAGTGGAGATGGTGCACACATTGTGAGCATGGATGAATTTGATGACCAGGGTAGTTATATTGGTAAAGCACTGGAAGAAATATGTATCAAGCAGGATATTAACCAGGGCCCCCATCTTATAAAGAGTTGTGACCGACCGATTCAAATTAATCGCAACTTGATATCAAGCGCAAATCTTTATTGAAGAGACGGTCATTTGTAAGTTTTTGATTGATTTGAGGTCTCCTGATTATTCTGAAACAATTGCAACACTTTAAAATAAGGTCATTATTATTTATAGGTGCCTATCATAAAGGGGTGAAGACTATTGAGATGATTATTTGTCTAGTCTTGAAGGAGGCTAGATTTAGATGGATGAGATTGTGCGCAGTGATTTGGCAGCGTCTTAAAGGTCACAAGTTGGTTGGAGTTGATTAATGAAATGACCATTCTCAAAGAGGCTACCAAGGCTTTGTGTGCAGGGGCAAGAAAGAAAGAAGAGGATGTTTTGTCTGTCGAGAGGCAACTAATTGCTGAGAAGATGCAGGGAGAACAGAAAATGATTCCTTTCTTAATGTGCGCCTAGGACAGAGAGAACAACGGCAAAGAAAGAGAAAGGGAAAAGGGGGTAGCAGTCACAAAGTAGGATGTAAATTTCCTGCCTAAATACAAATTGATACATTGAGAATAATATTTTTTTTAAAGGAAGGGGGGAGGAAGGAATTTCTTTTGAAGGAAAGATGTTAGATTAAAGAAACTAATTCATTTTAATGTGTGTCTGAGGGAGAACAGGAGAGAAGAATGGAACTGGGAGGCAGTTGGAAAGAAAGAATTATGACTTTCTATTTCTACTTTCCAAGAAAAAATGATGCAAAGTGCATTTAAAGGAAAGGAAGGAGGAGGATAGGGGGAACATGTTGAAAGAAAGATGTTAGACTTAAGATAGTGTTCTATTGTTTTATTTGCAATGGAAAATGGATGGGCAGAACATGAAATATAAAGTTATAGAGAATGTTGGATTAGTAGGAAAGGTGCTTAACCTTCATGTATTCATATCTTCTCAAGATGTCATTGAGTATGCCTAATGGATGATTATTACATGGCAGAATACTGGTCGGTCTCAAAATAAAGAGAATGTTAAAGAGGGAGGGATGGAGGGAGGGCAAGAGAGAGAGAGAGAGAGAGAGAGAGAGAAGGGAAGGGGAGAGGGAGAGAGAGGGGGAAGGGGAGAGGGAGAGAGAGGGGGAAGGGGAGAGGGAGAGAGAGGGGGAAGGGGAGAGGGAGAGAGAGGGGGAAGGGGAGAGGGAGAGAGAGGGGGAAGGGGAGTGGGAGAGAGAGAGAGAGAGAGAGGGGAAGGGGAGAGGGAGAGAGAGGGGGAAGGGGAGAGGGAGAGAGAGAGAGAAAGAGAGAGAGAGAGAGAAAGAAGGGGAGAGAGAGATAGAAAGAGAGAGAGAGGAGAAGGGGAGAGGGAGAGAGAGAGAGAGAGAGAGAAGGGAGAGAGAGATAGAAAGAGAGAGAGGGGGAAGGGGAGGGGAGAGGGAGGGAGAGAGAGAGAGAGAGAGAGAGAGAGAAGTGGGGAGAGAGAGAAAGAAGGGGGAGAGAGAGATTTGTCATACATCATACAGTCTGCTACATACATGCACATCTTACAAAGGTAAATAAAGGTAATAGAGTGTATTAGATATACCCAATGACAGACAAGTACATGATAGATGATGACCTGTCTGAACAAAAGAAAGTGGTAGGTAGAGAGAGAGAGAGAGAGAGACAAAAGAGATGACCTTGAAGAAAGATGAGTTGTTGTAAAGTCTCATTAATACCTTCACATCCTACAGAGATAACATTAGTATTAACATATAACATATATATACATGTACCTAATGATGGATTATCACATGAAAGATGTTAGCGTGTCTCAAAATAAAGAAAATTGCAAAGAGATAAAGAAAATGAAAGAGAGAGAAAGAGAGAGAGAGAGAACATAGAGACAACAAGAAAATAAAAGGAAATAAGCTACAATGTCTGCTTTATGCATTCACATCTTATGCGACATTAAACATGTAAACCCTAATGATGGATTAGTACATGAAAGATTTATACGTGAAAGATTTTGGCCTTTCTATAAAACAAAGAAACTGATACAGAGGGAGAAAGAGAGAGAAAGGAGATAAAAAGAAATAAATATGCCATCAGCTACAGACAGTTTTATCTTTTGTGACATTAGAAACCCTAATGATGGATTATTATTTGAAAGATCTTTTTTTTCTTCAAAACAAAGAAAATGATAGAGAGCGTAAGAACAAAAAAGAAAGAAAAAAAAAGAGAAAAAGACGGAAAGAACGAAGGAAGAAAGAGGGAGATACTTAGATCAGTCAGTATCATTAGAATTCTGAGGTGTCGATGCCAGAAGATAGTAGTATATTATATACCTCGATTCTGGGAAATGGGGTTAAAACAAGGTACGTTAATGGGGTGGGAAGTTCTCAGCAATTTTGTTGATTCAATTTTAAATCTGCATTGATAATAATAATGAAAGCTACATTTATATTGTGCACATAACCAACCAATGGAATGCTCAAGGCGCCTACAAAGTAGTATTATTACCCTGGCTTTAGCCCAGCTGCTCTAAGGTGCTTAAAGCATGCAATGAATTAATTACTAACAGGTACCCATTCACTACATCTGGGTGGAGAGTGGAAAATGTAGATTAATGCCTTGCAAAAGGCAATTAGTGCCACAGTGGGACTTGAACCGTGAACCTTGTGATCCAAATTCTGGTGTACTAGACCATGACACCTCTTCATTACAACAACTGAGCATACAAATCTCAATGATTGTACTTCTGTAGAAATATGTGGTAGTTGAGTGGTTTAGGCGCTTAGCTTGAAATGCAAAGGTCGTGGGTTTGATCCCGTTAGGGCACTAATGTCCTACTCCTTTGGCAAAGTATTAATCTATATTTACCACTCCATATCCAGGAGGGAAATGGGGACCTGGTAGGATGACAAGGCCTTTGTGGTAGAAGTTGCCATACCTATCTTTATTTATTTGTGCTGTATTCTGACAGGGTAGCCCTGTTTTGTAATTGAAATACTGTTGTTCCTTGTTGGCCTTGTAATACACAGCACAGGTAACCATATGGTAGGAATACTCCCTAGGGAGTGGAGATGGTGCACATTGGACACAATCCAATGACCGGGGTAATAATATCTGTAAAGCGCTTAGAGACTGTATTTCGTATTAAGCGTGATGTAAATCCAGATTATTTTTATTATAACTAATAGATATATAAATATAAGATGTTTGTTGAAGTGCCTGTTTAAAGAGGGATCCTGTGAATATATATTTTCTCTTTCTTTCTTTCTTGCAGAAATGGATGTCGGTTTCCAATTCACATTGGTATCACAGGGTATGTGGCGACAACAGGGGAGGTAAGTACTTTTTTTTTTAGTTACACCCCTCCATTACACCCCTCCGTTACACCCCTCTGTTACGCCCCTCTGTTACACCCCTCTGTTTCACCCCCATCGATGCATAGATGAATAATAATTACATAACTTTCATGACTACGTATCCAGCAAATCGTCTCAGTAGGTTTATAATTGTGGTACAAATGACCTTTATCTGCCCCAGCACAGATTGCATTTACAAACTGGCTTATTAACGCCCTTCGGGATCCTTTATAAGTTAATCCAACTGAGGCTTCTTTGACCTAGATACCATTGTATAAACTTGTGGTATTTAATTTTTTTAAAGACATGTTTATAGGTAGAATTATCAAACAAAATGTATTGTAAGCAGAACAATCTAACAAATTGTGAATTTGAAGAAGATTAGGGACCATGGTAATGGGATTTATGATGGATGCACAGGAAGAGAAAGTATCTCTATGGATCAATGCTGTAGAAAGAACCCCTCCTCAGGATCCTTGAATGACATACAAACCTATGCATTCTTATTAGAGGGGTAACAGAGGGGTGTAACAGAAGGGTATAACAGAGGGATTAAAAGAAGATTAGGGACCATGGTAATGGGATTTATGATGGATGCACAAGAAGAGAAAGTACCTCTATGGATCAATGCTGTAGAAAGAACCCCTCTTCAGGATCCTTGAATGACATACAAACCTATGCATCCTCATTTACCTCACAGAATTATTCACCCTGAATCATCGTCGTAAAACATCCCCATCTCATCTCTCTTCTTTCTTTCTTACTACAAGTTTAATGAGAAATAAATGAGCAAGGCTTGTTTGGGAGAGAGTAATTAAACTTGCATTTAGGAGATACCGCAGTGGAGTTTCTTTAATTACATGTACTCCTTGGAATTCCTCTGTCTCAGGGTTGCCAATTTGCTGTGATGTCCCTCTTTGACGTAGAGGTTTCTAGCTCTGTAATAAATGTTGGTTAAGACCCTTTGAATACTAGCTTCTCTCATTCTCCCATTCACCCTATCCTTAATGCAGGGTCCACATAGCCCTCTAGGCAATAGGTTACCTTCCAAGTGAGACAATGAATATATTATACATTATTTTTTCAAAAGCATTAAGGATTGTTTTGTTCATTGCTTTTCAAGTAAAAAAATAATTTAAGAAAATACAAAGACTCTTGAAAACTGAAGTATGACTATTTAATTAATGTCCTTATTTTCTTTCTTGCAGACTCTTAACATTTCAGATGCATATAAGGATCCTCGGTTTGACCCCAAGGTAAGGAGGCATCTTTATCCCTCTGGTACCTGGCACCGGAAGAGAACTTCAAAACATCAAATATGATGTTTGCTTTATTTTTACAGGAATAAAACAGCTGTGGCACAAAATAAACAGATGTGCATTGCTCATATATGTGTATACCATGTGAAGGAGAGCAAAAAAGGAGAGAATGATTATAGTTTTGAAAATCCAGTGTGTGTTTTTCTTCTTATTTAAGAATATCGTCGGTGGGGTGACAAAACCTCGTATCTCAAAAATCATGAATTTTCAAGAGAGCGAAAAAACATTTCCTGTCTCAACAGATTTAGTGCTGTGACACCGTCCTTTGTGTGGAATTTGTGAAAAAACCGAGACAGGAGGCGTTCCATGAATTTATCAGGTGGTGTCGTAGGCCATTAGGTACACAATTATGCAAAAAAATCAAAATCTCAAAAAATTTAGATACGAGGTTTTGTCACCCCACCGATGATATATTACCTATCATTACTAGAAAAGGAATGGTCTTTTAGAGGCTCATAGTAGTGGGTTCTCATGGGGAATACATACATACATACATACATACATACTAACATACATATTGATATTTATATAGCGCCTTTACAAAAACATGCTCAAAGCACTTTAGGTTAGTAAATAAAAACAGAATAATTATTTTGCTTTCCAAGTGCATACACTGTAAATTTGAATTTGACACCATTTGGGTTTTTACCCAATAACCGGTGTTGATAATCACCAAGAATGGACTTCACTTTTAAGTCCACCAGGAATTATGTAATGCTCTGTTCCCTGGACCTACCGCTATAAGGAACTCTCATTGTAATCAAATGTCCCTCACTGTCAGGATATGAAGGCAAGCAAGAGTAATATCTGGTGGTACACCAAGTTCACTGCCTGAAGAGACCTGTGCATACATTAATTGGCAATTCAACCAAATCAGAGCCCCATTTCACAAAACTTGTCATCAGTGACAAATGACAGTTTTTGTTATAAGCTAGAGAAATCCTTGCTTCTGATTGGTTATCAGCAGATTTTTCACCAATTTTTGTCATTTGTCGTTTGAAAAAGGCTTTGTGAAACGGGTTCGTGGTGTCAGCAAATTATGATGCAATACACATGGACATCGACTAGTATGTGGCTTTCAAAACATGTTCTGATACTTGTTCTCTTTCTGCTCCTAGGTTGACTCGGAGACCGGTTTCCGCACCCATGAGATGCTCTGTATGCCCATCAAGAACGCTAGCGGGGCAATCCAGGGGGTCAGTCTACTGGTCAACAAGATGGACGGGTCAGCCTTCAATAAGAATGATGAAGACATGTTTGAGGTAAAGAAACAAGGAATGAGGGCACACACCAGTAACTGTTTCTCCACAGGAATTTCTTTAAAATTAATTATTTTTGATTTTACAATTAAAATCCATGGATATGATATGTACAATATATTGCTAAAGTAGGTAACAGCTAGAAAGGTGAACCTTGTAAGTGGCCCACACAGTAAAATATATACATGAGAGAATAATATGTTTATTGTACACGAAACCTATAATAGCACATGACAACACATGCAAAAAACAGAACACAACAAAACTAACAACAACAAAGTGTTTGTAATGAAGTAAATATGATGTTCAATTTTCTCCAGCAAAAGTTTTCTTATTTTCTCTTTTAAAAATATTTCAGACTAGTGTGCTCTTGATGAATGGGGCAAGTTTGTTCGTTTGACCTGACTTCTAAGAAGCCATTGTACCAGGGGACAGACAGCTTTCAGTCCTCTCAGAGGGACTTGATAATGAGGATTAATAAATGCCTTACCAAAGGGCACTAGCGTTTTGATGAATATCAAATTGTAAATTTCTGCCTCTATGTAATTATAATAATATAACTCACTCCCTATCTCTCTCTCCCTCTATCACTCTCCCTCTCTCTCTCACTCTCTCTCTCTCTCTCTCTCTCTCTCTCTCTCTCTCTCTCTCTCTCTCTCTCTCTCACTCTCTCTTCCACTCTCTCTCTCCCTCCCTCTCTCTATCTTTCTCTCTCCCCCCACTCTCCTGCAGGCATTTGCAATATTCTGTGGTATGGGCATACACAATACCAAGATGTATGAGAAGGTGTGTCGAGCAGTTGCTAAGCAACGAGTAGCACTAGAGGTAAGAAGATATCCTTATGTGTTTCCTTTTCCCTTTACACATGTTCTTGTATCCATATTTGTTTGCTATTATCTTCATTTTTTGTACTTGAGTAAAATAATAATATAATATAATAATACTCAGTTTTTATACAGCGCTTATTAGAATCACCAAGCGCTTCCAAAACTAAAACGAAAGGAAGAACATGGTTTGATCATATAATCGATTGTTTTTACCTGACTGCTAAGAAAGCCTTGTATTCTTGTGAGTAAGGAACTAGGTGGAATCTACAGCTTTAAATCCTATCCAAGGGACTTGGTAATGAGGATGAATGCCTTCCCATAGGGCACTATTGCATTGACTTGGTTTCAAACCTTGGACCTCCTGTCCAGTCCACTGCTCTACCACTGATCCATTGTGCCTATGTAACATCTCCAAGAAACATATGGCTGTAGATCCTATCCACAGGACTTGTTCATTGAGGATGACTGGATTCATCCAAGGGATCTAGCTCAACAACTTGTTTCAGAATCATGTTTTACGCCATTATCAAGACAATTTGTTTTATCCTTTGGGCTGCACTGCCTCTGAGTCTGGCTTCGACATATTAAAGTTTCCCAGCCTCTCATTGAAATTATTAAGCTGGGTCTGAAATAGTGGGTGCATATAGACTATCCTTTCACATCTTTCTCTTGAACCAGTCAGTACTCTGCCTGGGATGGTTTCGGATGAAACCCATGGGATACATATGGAGAATGAAAAGTGAAACTGTCTGTAGTAAAGCTATAGATGCAGTTATAGAGGGGTAGTCTTTATAATTATACTCTGTTCGGATTCTGTTCATGAGAGAGAAAAATATTCATCTCCATTAATTTAATTTTATTTTTGTAGTGGATCCAAGATTCTTTGCATATCTGTAGGAGTTTTGGGGAAGGGAGAGGGGGACAGTGTATTGGTTTCCAGATTTTTCACTGCATAATTGATCTAAAAATCAGGATATATCTAAAAATATCTCTGACAAATATGACTAATATTTGCAAAATTAAATATATCTTGTTTGGCTGAGGGGGCAAATACCTACTTGCGTGTATTGTGCAATTTTTTTTTTTAAGGGGATGGGGGGCTCTACGCTCAAAATGTCCCATACAGAACTGGTTTCGTTCCATTCATGATCTGTCCATTTGCTTCTGTTCAATCATTGTCTGTCGACCGTTCTGTCAATCAACCATTTACTCTCTGTCTATTATATTCTCATCATTCCATTCAGCTAATCCATTATGTCATTAAATCTAATCCAACGGTATGCGTGTCAGACATTGTCATCCGCCTACATGTCTGCATATCTGTCAATCAACCAATCAACGCAATGTTTGATAATTATCCCGTTCACGACAAGAATTTTTAAGGGTTAAGTTCTTCAAATTGGCATCACTGGTATATTTCTTTTATTGTTAATATATTTATAAAAAGTCTAATATGTAAAGAAAATCATACATTAATAGGAACTATATCAAACAGATGAAATAATGTCAATTTGATTAAAAAGCGGTGAATTTGAACTCTACATATTGTTGCCAATTTAAAGATTATAATGCATTTTTCACAATTTTAATGCCAAATGCTAAATACTATTTCATCATAAAAAAGACAAAGTGGGGAGGAATTTGCTCCCACTCTCTCTCTCTCTCTCTCTCTCTCTCTCTCTCTCTCTCTCTCTCTATATATATATATATATATATATTTCTCTCTCTCTATTCATGTTCATGGTTCTGGTATATTATTTTTGGTGGTCTGACCTAAAAGTTGTTAAAAATCAAACCACAAATTGTGGGCAGTTGTCTCACAAGGGCTAAGCTGCCATTATCCTTCATCATGTCACCTTCAAGTATTCATGTTCACTTAATCCGATCCGTCAATCAGTCAATCACTTTCTATTTAGTGCATTCTTTAGGCTGCCTTGTAGACTAATCAATGATAGCTATGCCCGGCTCAATAAAACGGGTGTAGGCATCAAATGCTTAAATCCCACACCCCTTTTCATTTGGCACGCAATAATATTAAATAGTCAGGCCGTAAAGTATGAGGTGGTGTGCAAAAACCTAAATGAAAGTAGAAATATTCTGAATAGTAGGAATACATGAGAACTTAGATTTGATTTAGTTTACTAAGTATAATATATGTCATGTACATGTTTAATGTGGGTAGTTAACCCATTGCAAACTGGAACTGGTTGGCCCTTGTATGAAGGCTATGGGAATGAGAGGGTTTGGTAGTCAGGGGGTTAAATGTAATTATGCGCTTGCCCATGTTTATATTGTATTCTATAGTTGATATCTAAAAGTAGAAACTCAGAATATTTGTAAAAGTGGACTTTTATGTGAAAGAAGAGAACTGTCTCTATAGTAGGAATACATCATAATATACTTTTGATTTAATTCATTTTTTATTTGTTTAGTATGATTGTGGGTATTGGATATAATAACCAATGTTTCAAAATCCCCTCACCCACTTTAACAGTGCATGCAATATCATCGATCGCAGAAGGATTTAATTTTTGCAAATATATAAGGTTCATGATTTGTATTAAATCAGCTGCATCATTTTGAGCTGCTCAAATGAAGTGCCTAATTCTTTGAAGAGGTTTAATTTCACCTGGGTGGAGAGTGGCAAATGTAAATAAATGTCTTGCAAAAAGATATAACTGCTCTGGCACAATGCTCTAATTCTCTTAAACGACTGGCAGAAGCTTCATTCTTTATCCACTTCTCTTGACGTACTATTTAGCAGCTCTGCCCAACAAGGAATCTAATCAAATGGATAGCGTCTATCAAATTTCCAGATGGAAATATGTGTGAGAGAATGCTCTCGTGCTAGAATGGATGACCAAATCAAATTAGGGAAACGAGGCACCTCCTCTCCCCATCAAAGGGGGTCTTAAAGTCTGGGAATGTTTAGAGTTGTAATTGCTAGGTTGAGCAAGATTATGTTGTCTGGTGAGAGATAGAAGGGTATTATCACATCCTCTAACATCCTGAGTTAAAGATTAAGACTAGTTCTGGTCATGCGATTGCATTGTGAAAGAAACATAGCATATAAGTATTGGTGTGTACTGCAAGGTTCTGGAATCATCAAAATGATCAGAAATTTGGCCCAGTCTTGGTAAAGTTACAATCACTGTACACAGAAAGATGTATTTGGGACTACGCGACACATGCACGATATCCATCAGGTCCAAATAGATATAATAATTTACCAGATATATCAATTAGTAGGCGGTTTCTCGGCAAAATTTGTATCATCACATATATTAGTCAAAACATATTCTTTTATATGATTGGTAATAAGAGCTTCCATTTCATTTTTTGAGAGGGGAGCATTTCCAAAACTGGTCTTTACCTTTAATGATACTCATCTTGATCTTGTACTGGGCAGTCAGTCAGTTCATGCTCTCAACCTAGAGGTTATGTTATTGTATCGATGCTGAATTCTGGTCGTGTAATTTCATGTTGAAGCAATGAATTTTAAATAAATGATTGTATAATGAATAGAAAATATTGTCTATTGTGAGGTTTATAACCAACAAATTTTTCACATTATACACATATGATAAATGTGATATAAAATACTGTGCTGCGCATAAATTTGCATGCAAATTAGACTCATACACATACATTTGTGTGATATGTCTTTTTTTCCATTTCAATTAATGAATTACTGCTCTACATGGTAGATCTGAAATATACAAGCATTCCAAGAGTAATCTTTCTTAGCTTTTGTTACTGATGAGATGTTTATATTAACAGGAATGAATTCATTCTAATACAGTGCTGTCAAATCAGTTTCCTTTAAATCTCTTTCTGTCAAGATTCACTGTTTCCAGTGCAAGATTATTTTTTTTTAAACATCACTTTATTGTTCAAACTTGCACAACAAAGGAGAAGATACAATAGCCCAGGACAATTCCATTTTACTGGAAAATGCAGGGCATTAAAAGTACATACAGTGTACTCAATGCCATTGTTAAAGGGTTGCAATGGAGTCAATCGGGACTGGACAGGGGTAACTTTGACAATTTCTGTTGTACAAAGTAATTCTTTTGATGCGTATTGTTTTGTGCTGATCTGCACGTATGGATAACAAGCGACTGCACAGAGAGAAGGAGAAAGCAACTGAAGTGTTAGTAATCAACAGTCAGCACTCATGCCATGAACAGTGTGTACTTTGGAAAAATCTTTAAACAAAGATATAATTTCTATAAAAGAAGGATACATGTTCCAGTTGACAAAATTGCTCTTAGAGAAACACCAATGGGAATACATAACCATTTCCAGTAGTTTAGACAAATTACATCAGGAATATTAATCGAATCAGATTGTAATTTTCCCTTTTTAAGTTACATGAGGATTTCCTGGATTTTGCTTTGACTATTAAAGCTTACTGCTTCATGCTCATTTGATATTGCTTGAGTAATGCATTTTACGCCTCATACATTGAGAAGGAAATCATACAAATGTGTGGTTTCACTTCTAGCAAATAATGGACGAAGTCTGGCTTCATGTATGTGTAATGTCTGTAAAAATAGGGGAATTCAGCTTGATTTTACAGAGAAGTAATGTAGCCACTGGGGGGTGTTTAACAAATACTAAGATCAACTTTCAGTTGGACTTAACTATGGCAGGCCGTTCATGTCACTGTTTGCTCTCACCATTTACTGACATTTGTCTCTCAAGGAACGGACAAATCATGGTCACAAATCTACAAAATAGTCATTTTATGATAATTCATTATTGAAGGAAAAATATTATCTAAAGATCATAATGGTGAGAGCAAACAGTGGCATGAAGAGCCTGTCATAGTTAAGTCCAACTTAAAGTTGATCCTATTCTTTGTGAAACACTCCCCTGGGAATACATTAATTAGGGTGTTGAGGTGGTGAGGAAATGTTCATGTATGTTGTTACAAACTCTGTAAGAACACTGGATATTTGATAAATCTGAAATATCTTAGAGTTTCTGTTCTTCTCAACTCTTTGTCAATTTTGTTCCATTTAAAGACATTTTGCCCCGTGCAAGTATGTGAGACAGTAAATGATTTGCACACATTTTTGAAATGTGCATGATGATTAAATAAAGATCTTATCTCATGTTAATTAATTACTGTATATATTTTATTGTTTCTTTGTTCTCTTATCCTCAGACATTATCGTATCATGCCACAGCTCCTTCAGAAGAAGCTCAGAGAATAAAGGTATGTGTCTTTATATTAATAGTATTCTCATTATTATATTCAAGATTCAAGATTCAAGTTTTATTGTCCATAGTAATACAGAAATTTGTTTTAAACACCTTTACGGCATCTTTTGGAGGAATCGTACCAATTACATACGAGATAAAGATGATATTGTATGCAGAGAACCAGGAGGGTGTTAACTTAATGTTGAACAAGAATGAGTCAACACCATATTCCAGCTCTTAGCAGGCGGTACTTAACAAGAACATTTTTCTGAGTCACATCTTAGATGCATTAATACATAATGCATCTATGATGTGACTCAGAATGTTGTTATATTATTCATATTTTAGCTTTTATCGAACTGGACAAAAGGAGCTAAAGTCCGTTTTCCTAATCTGAGCGAAGAAATGTGAGTGGAGCCACCACAAACAGCGAGGCTACTTCAGCCATAAGATAGGGCTGCAAAAGTACTTCCATCACCAATATAAATGAACATGGTTAGCTCCCTGATACTGAATCCTCTCAGCTTAATCGTTTGTTGATTCCATGGTCTTCATGAAAGCTAATCATCGTTATAAAAGATTGCACTATACAAGAAAGTATTTGGATTAATTACTTATCACTTTGATTTTTTTCTCCCTTTGACAGAAACTTCCAGTGCCAACTTCTAACGAACTAGGTCTTCTAAAGTTCTCCTTCAGCGAGCTTCGTATGACTGAAGATGAGACATTGCTAGCAGCCATTAGGATGTTCCTCGATCTAGATCTACTAAACAAATTCAGGATAAACTATGAGGTATACAAATGATGAGACAGTAAATTGTAAATAGATCCACCAAAAAAATTCAGGATAAACCATGAAGTAGTATATTTCTTAAGCTGTATGTTTTTTTGGTCATGGCTTATATTGTCATAGACTAATAACATAGTTTAAATATTGTCTCCAGATGTAGTATAGGAATCATACATGGCGTGTTTTGTCTTCTGGTGTGGTAGCAGAACTTAAGCTAATGATGATGATGTTGGTGGTGATGATGTTATATGAATATCATAATGATGGTGTTGGTGATGTTAAAACAACTTAAACAATTGGAATATAAAGTTGATTGTTTTGCTGTCCACTGATACATTTATGGACATTTGTTCAGATTAAGTGAATGAGAAAAATAGAAACATACATACAGTAATCTTCAACACTTTTATCTCCACAAATAATATATCCACAAATAATAACTATGTTTTATGTCGATATAGATTTCCTAAAAACAACAAAATTAATTTTCTAGATGACAGCCATGAGTCACTGTCAAAATTTTAGGGAAGATAATATGTAAAATAGTTACTGTGATGGTAATAATTTTCTCCAACTTTCTTGATGATTTTCAGACTATGTGTAGATGGCTACTGAGTGTACGTAAGAATTATCGCAATGTGACGTACCACAACTGGAGACACGCTTTCACAGTAGCACAGACGATGTTTGCCATCATCAAGGTAAATTTAAAATTTAAATATACCGGTAGATATCAAGAAAATGATGCTAAGGTAGCCACTTCAATGCTCGATGTATAATTAAAGATAATCTGTAAGCTTGAGTGAAAACAGACCATTATTAATTATAAAAATTGGGAAAAACTGATTTGATCGATTTCTAACTTGTCCCAACTATATTATCATAAGTTAATTACAGTTTAGGTGATTGTAAATTGTCACAAAGCAATGAATTGGCTTTATATCCCATTCCAAACATTTAAGTGTTGAATGATTTTTGAGAGCCTGTTTTATGTCTTATTTTCATGGAATTGTTAGAGGGGATTACACATTGGTGCCTTCAAAGAAAACCATAAATATCTTTGTGGTTTGAGAATTTTTTTCAATATGTTTTGAATGTTAGAGGGTTAGTACAGTAGAAGGAAATTCAATATAATAGGTAACATTTCATACAAAATTACATTTTTTTCATCAACCTTCAACAATGTTACCAAGTCATGTTAAAACTATGTAAATATTATGCTGATTTCTTTTGCTTTGCTTCTCTTATGACCTGACAGGCTGGTGGTATGAAGAACGTCTTGACGGACATCGAGGTCATGTGCCTCATGGTAGCATGCTTGTCACATGACCTTGACCACAGGGGTACCAACAACAACTTCCAGGTCATGTGAGTAATGAATATTCATTAAAGTTCTTGCTATGAAGCCCGAAGACTCTCACTCATTACAACAACAAAAAGTATATATATTGAGTTTGATATATGATTTACAGAATTTTAACTGTTGGCGCTGTCATGGTAAAATTAAATCTGGCTCAATGCCCATATGTCTTCATGTCAATTACTGTAAAACCACGACTTTTGAAAATTGGTTGATAAATAATGGCCATCTTTGTAAGAATAAACATGCACAATTTATACAAATAAATGTTGTAATGCAATCTTTTTGCCGCATAGAATGTTATGATACATTTAGTTTCATCATCAATAGTGATCTGTCAGTTTATGACAGGTTCAGTGACCCATTCAAAATTCTATATCAAGTGTCTCTCCAAGTTCCTCGGTCTTGAGCCAACTATTTCATCGTTTCATACCCTGTTGCTCCACATTGTGTGATTAGTTTCATGCACTTGAAAATTTCTGATTTTCCAGATAGACAATTTGTTAATCTTCTCATGTCCTTTAACCCTATTTAGCCCGGGCTATTTTGAAACTGCATAGCCCAGGGGGGGGCTTCTCAGGCCCCCCCCCTGTGATCTCGGCCGTGAAACGCCCGATCGCCGCGAAAATTTGCATACATGTCAAGTGAAGTGTATAGAATACTATGGTAATTTCAATAGTTTTGAAAAATTCACTCATTTGCATATTTATGGTAATTTATGCAAATAAGGTCATTAAATTCACATTTTTGCCCATAAATCAGACATTATTCATATTTAAGCATTCTTTTTCACTACATATATTTGTTAGACCATTTGGAATAATAATACAACACAAAAATTGGAAAAACCAGGGTTATTCCTTATGTTATCTATTGTTTTGATAATTTCTTATGTATTTCTTTGTTTTTTTAACTTATGTATTTTATTGTTTTTGTTGTTTTATTTCATTTCCAACTATAATTCAACTATTTTGACCCCAAAATAAACACCTAAAATCTAAACAAGACCAAATAACCAATGTTTTACCTCTTTATTTGAAAAATGAGATTTCCATATGTTTTGTACACAAATCACAAAAATGAGCGATTTTCGGGCTGACATGCGAAGACAAAAGGACACGTGACTTTGTAATGGTAGGTCCGATTTTCGAAAAATTTCTTTCAAAAGTTGCGCAAGACTCGAAAGAAAAAAGTCACAAAATTTCAGTGCAAGATTTTCTTGCGTTAAAAAATTATCGCGAAAAATGTCGAGGGGGGGGCTTCTCAAGCCCCCCCCCCCCCCGGGCTAAATAGGGTTAAGTATACTAATGAGCTTGAATTATCACTACAATCCTATGCAGAACAAAATAAACTCAAAGTTCAGTCAATAGCCTTTCTTGTCTTTGGAGATACAATGTACATACATCAAGTTGATTTCTAAATAAAATATAATTTCATGCAGATACTTTGTAGCAATATGATATATCACTTACTTGTAATATTTCTCTCTAACAGCATGTTATTTCATTCAACCTGAAAAGTTTGACTTTGTTTATATGTTTTCTTACTCATTTTCTCTTTGATACTACCATAGGATTGAATCTCCTCTTGCGCAGCTGTACTCGACTTCCACCATGGAACACCATCATTTTGATCAGTGTATCATGATCCTAAATAGCAAGGTAACTAGTCCATCCTTCATCTCTTTCATTCTCTTTGTAACTGATTATCAGAGGGGTCAGGGAGAGAGGCCCCCCCCCCCCCAACCCATCCCTCCCTCTATTACGATCAGACCCCCCCCCCCCCTGTAATTTTGATCAGTGTATCATGATCCTAAATAGCAAGGTAACTAGTCCATCCTTCATCTCTTTCATTCTCTTTGTAACTGATTATCAGAGGGGTCAGGGAGAGAGCCCCCCCCCCCCCAACCCATTCCTCCCTCTATTACGATCAGACCCCCCCCCCCCCCCCTGTAATTTTGATCAGTGTATCATGATCCTAAATAGCAAGGTACTCCATCCTTCATCTCTTTCATACTCTTTATAACTGATTATCAGAGGGGTCTGAGAGAAAGGGGAAGCCTCCACCCCCCCCCCCCTTATTATCATCAGATTGACACCCTGTAATTTTGATAACTCTATCATGATTCTCATATGTAAAGTATTAAATTCTATTCCTTTTATCTGTTATTCTTCCTTTCCTTCCCTGATGATAAGTGAGAAAAGGGACCCCATCTCCATCTATCTCTGTTTCTCTCTCTCCCTCCCTCCCCCCCCCCCTCTCTCTCTCTCTCTCTCTCTCTCTCTCTCTCTCTCTCTCTCTCTCTCTCTCTCTCTCTCTCTCGCTCATCCCCAGATCAAGTAGATCAATATTTCCTGATCCTAAATAGCAAGTTATTCCATCTTTCATCTTTTATTCCCTCTCCGACTGATGGTCAATGCAAGCCTTTAGTACAACAAAGAAGTGACATTTATATACAGATTCCATGTAGGCCTTATGAGGTTTTGAATGAGAAAAAGTGCAAAGGGTGGAAATAGCTGGACTTTCTATACATGTGATCACGAGGCTGTTTTAACTTCTGTTTCTTTTGCCTTTTTAATTGTTTTGTTTGTGATTCCTCTACAGGGCAATGAGATCTTCATGAACCTCAATCCTGAAGAGTATACCAATGCTATCAGACTTCTAGAACACGCCATCTTGGCTACGGACCTTGCTGTCTACTTCAAGTAAGTTCAGAAATATGTTTTTCATCTTCATCCCTCTCTGGTCAAGCAGTACTTCATATTGATTTGCTATCTCTTCCCTCTCTCTCTCTCTCTTCCCTCTCTCTCTCTCTCTCTCTCTCTCTCTCTCTCTCTCCTATCCAGGGGAGTGTTTCACAAAGACTAAGATCGTCTAAACTTGGACTTGAACTATGGCAGGCCGTTCATGCCATTAAATCCTCTAACCATTCCTGGCATTGGTTTCTCAAGGGACATACAAATCGTTGTCACAAATCTACAGAATTTACATTTTTTTGATAGTTAATTGTTGAAGGAAAAAATATTATCTAAAGATCATAATTACTAAGGTCTTTTTTTTCCTCTAATTTTACATCTGGTTCAAAACTTTTTATAGGCATAAATCGCTTACCATAATATAACCAGTGGCATGAATGATGAATGGCCTGCCATAGTTCAAGTCCAACTTCAGTCGATCTTATAAGCCTTTGTGAAACACTCCCCAGGGGTTATCCATTACATCACAACACCTCTATAAAATGGGTGGTATAAATTAAGCCTGGGCCCCTTCTTACAAAGAGTTATGATTGATCCAAATAATTTGTAAGTCCTCCCATCAATCGCAAGTTTGCAGTCTCCTATCTCTCATGTACATAGTTGCGATTGATGTCAATCACAAATAAGTTGCGATTGATATCAACAATTTGTAAGACGGGGCCCAGGTCTTAATTGACCTACTTCCTTGTAAACTGTAACTGCTTATAACAACACAATGCACAAAGCATTTCAGGGTTCCTAATCACCAATCGTGCTTGTCCTCCTCCTTCAGATCTCGAGGAGAGTTCTTCCATCTAGTTGACGAGCAGAAGTGTGAATGGAACGAGGATGACCAACGAGAGCTTCTGAGAGGGATGCTGATGACCGCCTGTGACATCTCAGCCATCTCAAAACCATGGGACGTCCAGAAAGAGATCGCCAAGCTGGTCTTTGGCGAGTTCTTCGAGCAGGGAGACTTAGAGCGGCAGCAGCTCAATAAAGTCCCTGATGTGAGTTTATCTTACAAAGAAATGTGTTTGGTTGAGTCTCAAGGAAAGAAATAGAATAAACTATATCTCTTAAGTTCAACTCAAGGACAATATTCTGAATAGTGTGTACCAGTTTTATATGTACATGTATATTATAATCAGTTTCAAAATGTTGTTACACTCTTTGTAAAATGAGATATTGTGGATACCAATAAACTATCTATCTATCTATACATGTATTGGCCTATTGATGGGAATGAGCTCCCATAAATGAGCTTCTTCTGTTCGACAAAGTTCCTGATGTGACATTCCGTGGAAATAAAATAAAAAATAGCCATAGAATTGCTTTATTATTTTTTTAACAGAAATTCTTTGAGTAATTCAATTCAATTAAATACAATTCATTTATTTTTCCTCTTTCAATCGTTCATATTTACAATGATGGTACATTTTAACATATTTACATATTTATATACATATAGATCAATTTCCACAATACAATACATTAAAAAAATAAACATGAAATTGAAAGGGAAGGAGGGCCGACTAAAAAAAAGTAGGGATACTGAGTGTCAATGCAAAACTTCATACCACTTACTTTCCCCAAGTTGCATTTTGATATGGCGCCATCTGGAGTTTAATATATAACATTTTTACAGAAAGGTGACCTAATGGTGCAGAAGTTCATCTTAAAGCCCCACTGCACTACTTATAGCTACTTGCACCATCTATATAGCAAACAATGCCTAACCAGTGACCATTGGTCCCCTATGTCTCCTTTTTCTTATGTTAATTAAGAGCTGATTTGATAAGATAACCACCTGTCAGTGACCATGCAGGGAGGTCTAATCCCTTCTGGCCAAACTAGAGCAGAGAGGCTTTAACTTATTGGAAAATTGTTATATTTTCATTCAACACAAATTACTCATTTGGTTTCAACCTGAGGTATGTGTATCTTTGACTTGATATTCAATGGGTAAAATATATCGGTAAGTCACACATATTTTGTGTACTGTGTTGTAAAGGGTATTTGTCAATTTTTTTGTTAGGGGGGGGGGGGGGGAAGGGGAGGAGAGGCAATTGTACAAATTTCAACATAGTTTCTGTCCATGTAAATTCTTTTTGAATGCACGACAGAATGGAAGAATGTTGTTGCAAAAGTGTTGCAAGTTCCATTGTTGCCATTTTGTAGGAATAAAGTAGATCGATATGACCTTAAAAATTAAATGAAAAATCATGAATAATTTCCTTTTTTTTTCTTTCTTTGGTTCTTCCTCACCCTAGGACATGATGAATCGGGAGAAGAGAGATCTTCTACCCAAGATGCAAGTTGGTTTCGTTGATGCAATATGTCTGCCCGTCTATGAGGTAATCTTTAAAACCAATCAGGATTTCTTGTTGAGCAATTTCATGTCAAAAGGAACTGTTCGTGTAAAGATATTATTAATTCATGTAGTAATTTAATAACAACACCCTTACATGCATATTGTTTCAATATAGTCAAACCTGCTTTAGCGACCATCTTTATAGACAGAACCACCTTTCTATAAATACCACATATTTTGTTTCCCTTGAATTTGGTTTCTCATTGAAACCTGTACATATATAAAGACCACTTGCCTATAAAGATCACTATGCATGTTTCCCTTGAACGGCCTTTATTTACAGGTTTCACTGTATCATTCACATTTTAGCCTGATTGCCCCGATAGGGCACTGTTACTATGCTCCTGCCTAAGTGAAATGTCCTTCCCTAAAAATAAGCCATCCGAGGACAAGTACCCCATGGAAACGACCTTCAAGTTGATTACTCTTAGCTATCATATGCCAATACAACAGGGTAATTGTCCAAATGAGGAAGTTTCCTGGGGGTAATTGCCCTACAGGTGTAGATGACTGGGGTAATTGTCCTAGAGGTGTGGTTGAATGGAGGTAATTGTCCTAGGGGTGTAGTTGACTGGGGTAGTTGTCATAGAGGTGTAGTTGACTGGGGGTAACTGTCCTGGGTGCAGATGACTGGGGTAATTGTCCTAGAGGTGTGGTTGAATGGAGGTAATTGTCCTAGGGGTGTAGTTGACTGGGGTAGTTGTCATAGAGGTGTAGTTGACTGGGGGTAACTGTCCTGGGTGCAGATGACTGGGGTAATTGTCCTAGAGGTGTAGATGACTGGGATAATTGTCCTAGAGGTGTAGTTGACTGGAGGTAATCGTCCTAGAGATGTAGTTGACTGGAGGTAATTATCCTAGGGGTGTAGCTGACTGGGGGTAACTGTCCTGGGGTGCAGATGACTGGGGGTAATTGTCCTAGGGGCATAGTTGACTTGGGGAAATGTTTGTCCAACCAAAGATGCATTGTGATCTAAAATTTGCCCAAGTGATCATTGTTGCAGGTTTTATTTCATCAAAGATATATGGTTAGGGTTAGATATAGTGTTTGGTCCAAGGAATTGGGCGAATGTAAGATTTTGTCAGAGAATATTATGTTGTACAACGATATTTCCATTTCTAAACCTGTTCCCATCATTGCCCTCTCCATCCTCTACAGTCATTGACCAAGGTCAACGACAAGATGAAACCACTCCTCGACATGTGTCAGTCCAACCGCAACAATTGGCAACACCTCGCCACTCTGAGCATCCAACAGCTGGAGGAGAAGGAGAGTATCAAGGGATCGGCCGAGGAGAAGGACATCGACGAATCAGAGACCACCTCGTCATCGGAGAAGTCGCAGGGGGCCCCGCCCCGGAAGAAGTGACGCCAGATGCCAGAGAAAGAGAGAGAAGACGACAGTGATGAGAAGGAGGAGGAGGGGAGCGGTAGAGGGTATGGAGGATGTGATCCAATGTTATGGGAGCAGCTTGATATCGGTGAGATGGATTAAGAGGAAGGATAAAGGAACTACAATCCTGACTTTAAACATTTATTTCTTATTTAGTATCTGTTTCTCTCATCCCCTCCCTCTTTCCTATTCAACATTGAATTGAATTTAGTATTACTCAGATAAAGTCATCATCATCATCCATCATGACTTGTCACTTCTCTTGCACTCTTCCGAAATACAGTCAAACGGTTCTTTTGCTGTGGACATCTTTCCTCCTGCCCCCATTCATCACCCGGTGTCCTTGATTCACATTACACTGGGTAGTCTCAAGTTCAGTGTAGGTGTTGGTGTTAACACCCACATAGCACTTGAAGTTTGTTTATTGATGGTTGATTGACACCAGTCAAAAGACATGCTTTGTTTTACAGTGTACTGGGTAGTTTGAAGTTCAGTGTAGGTGTCACCCAAAGAAGACCACAAACTGTAGTTTATGGATGATTGTTAACACCAGTCCAGGAATTCGCTGGAGAAAGTAAAGTATTTCTTTCTTTCTTTTTCAGATCAAGAGTTTTAACAGGGTATAAGCTTGGTAGCAATGTTCATTAATGTTGACACAAGCACCAAATCTTGGTGTTACTGTTTGCACTCAGTGAATGATCTGGAAGTGAACTTAATATACACTTGATTGTAAACACCTGTCACACAACAGGGTTATCATTAGAAATACACCACAAAAAAGTGCCATATTTAGGACCACAAACACATATTTTGGTTTTTGTCTAAAACTAGTATAAATGGTGCTAGTGTAAACTCTCAGTGAAAAGTCAAGCACTTTACTTTGATATATGATGGAGTGTTTGATTTGTTTACACCAGATTAAAAAAAATATTGGGGAGGATATGTCAAATAAACTAAAAGAACAAGTATGAACGTTGTTACTTCTGCTGACAGGTGTTGATCCGATGGTTTCTGAGTTCAAGCACCTAGAGGGTTCAGTGTTATGAAAGGGAGATGACATTGCTTTAAGGTTTAACACCAGAACTAGGACCCAGTGCTGAACTTGAGTTTATCCTTCTAATAACTTTCCTGTGATTGATTTTAACCAAGTCTAAGCTGTTGGGTCTGGAAGATGAATTTCTTCTTCATTATGAAGGAATTCATTCTCTGGAAAGAAAGGACATATTGAATGAAGCCCATTTTATTCTAAAGAGCACTAACTCCAGAGACAGGAAGATTTATTTCTGAATTCAAGGTCCTAGGGATAAGAATACTTTTGACTTATTAAAGGAATTTGTTGGTCTTTATTTTGACGAGGGAAATCCGGTGAGGTCTTACAGGTGTCGTCTCCCCTCTCTTCTCTCTGTTTAGGCGTCTGTTGATTGCGGATTAGTCTTAGGCCAAGACTGGAGTGTGGAATGATAGCTCATAGAACAAATAGATTTGATATTTATTCTAGAATTACATGTAGCTGTAATGGGAGGCCAAGGCTTCCCTGATGCAGTGCAGTGAGTCGATTTTTTGAACCACCTTATACGTGGACAATATACTCCTAAATACGTTACGATGTCTTCAAAGAGAGTAAGATGTGCAGGATTTCTTTAACTCTGCCAAGTATATCGAGGATAGGATATAGAGAAACATTTGAAATATGCAGGGAAGTATTCTTCATGCAAAATCCTTATCACACATAATAGTCTTTTTGTTTTTAATCTCAGATATTCCTCACGCTGCCAGTGTGTATGAATTTAAATCTGATTTCTGTTTTTTTCTTCTTTTTCTTTAAATAAGCTGGCTGAAAAGATCTTTCTGAAATGTGTATAGAGGCAGTTCATGCCATTTTCATGCTTTCCTTTTTGTTGTGTATAACACAATATTTTTCATGAAATATTGATTTTACAAGGTAAAATGCCTGTATTAGTCAAAAAGCTCACGCACAAATCATATCAAATTACAAAGTACTATACAGGTAATAGTAAGAAATTTGTTCTTATATGACTTAAAAAGGATGTTATAATTGCCCTGATTAGAACAGTTATGTTTTTCTTAGTAATAATCGTTTTTTAAATATTTTTTTTACAATAAGCATATTTTGAATCATGCAAATCAGCTGATGTACACAGCAATCACCTCATTAATGCTTAGACAGTTTTGAGGGTGAAATTATAACAAGACAGTAAATTGATAAGGTGCTGTTAAATTCCAACCTTTCAGAAGTTATGAAGAGATTGGAAATACATGTAGTATTAAAGAATGACATTACACACACATTTCACCGTTCACTTTATTCCAAATGAAATAAACGAGGCAAAACAAATCTGCAAATATATAACAGTACAACTATGAGTAGGTATGCATGTGATAGATACACCCTACCTGAGTATGATTGAAGACAGTAGTACTAAGCAAAATAACAAAGTACATATATGCACAAAAAACATTATTTCTATCCTCTGTGTGATATTTATATATTACTGGGTGAGCTATAAGTTGCCTGGATTATAAAAAAAAGTTGGAAAAAGTGATGAAAAAAATGGAATGTGAGAAAAGATAGAGCGATACATGTGCACAATTAGACATTAAGACCAATGCTTGTATAAAGCTATGACTGTTTTCAGATAAGGAGCTGGTTTGATCTTTATGATAAAGGTTCTAATTGGCAATCTGGTATCAGAGCTGCACAATTATGTTATAAAGTCTGATATTGTGATGTAACTATGACTGTCTTTGAAGTATTCACAATAGGTCCCAGTTTTCATCTTAGTGATAGAGGTTCGACTGGTCTTGCAAACTGCAAATTGCTAATGTTCGAGGTATTGCAGCTGTACAATTGAACATTGAATATAATGCTGATATGATAGTACTTCTACAGCTGTCTCTGATATATGACAGCAATGGTGAATATTCATGATGTAGACTCTAAATGATCATTAAAGTTGTAAATTGGCAACACAGCTGTATCTGTAGAAGTGCACTGTAGTTACATTGGAAAAGGCTTGACTTGTAGCGGATGTGAATGAGCTTTTCAATTCTGCGCAATGCTCCATGATTCCATCTTCAACATTTGTAGTCAGACCAGTCAGAACATTGATCAAGCAGATGTAACATGGAAACATCTTTGAAAGTGGATGCCAAGGTAATTTCTTCCAAAAACTTCAGAGTTGATCATAGGATTTTCCATTAGGTGATTTAAATTTTGCTTTGGTTAAATATGCATCTAAATATTTTATAGTTCAATGACTGTGGTACTTACTTTCAAAATGGTGGAAATGTCTATTGATGAACTAGGCATGCATGAACACACTTTGTTGTGTTGATTTGTTCCAGTTGGAATATTGCTGTGGCATGGCTGTGACTTATATCAAATATATAAGGTCAAAGGTCATAGGAGAGATGATGCAAGCTGATGGACCTTTTTCCTCAATGATCACATTGAACGTTATCAAATACAGTAAACTATTCTTGCTCTATTTCCATGGTTTCAGGTTTTAATGTTGAGTTGTGCACATGTCTCGCTTTGGTTTCCACAAAGAAGATGATATTGGTGAACATATATAAGTATACAAATTAGTATTACAATTTTACAGTACGATGTATCATTAGTATTATCAAATTTCAGTAATTGCAGTGATTACTAATAGATGTATATATTTATACCATTTTTAATTTATATTCAGGAATATTATTTAATGCTTTCACTATCAATATAAAATGATACTCTTATAAAACACAAAATCTATTGAATATAGTTTGAATATAGTTTGCTAGAAATATATACCTGTACATGTAGCTAGAATGGATATTATCATTTAGTGAACTCTATTTCTTTTTGACTTAGTCTTTCTTTCAACAAAAATTATGTAATTTTAAATGTAGCAATGTTATATATTCCGTACATTTAAAGACATATTTTATACATCTTAGAAAACATTTTATAAATGTAAATAATATTGTGTGTACTGACCATCATTGTCATGACCTGTGTACAATTTGGAATGCTTCTTTTCATTTTCAAAGTTTGAACTTTTGTCTTTTGCATGTGTATGAGTTTGGTTTTATTTTTGTAAGAAAGGGTCTTGCAGTTTGTCTTCTCATGTTAAAGAAACTATGCTCTTTGTGTGCAAAAACCAGTTGAAACCTCCTTGAGTAACGAAATGCAAGCCCCTGCTTGTATCACTCTATGCTTTCGCTGAGGATATGTTTTTGATATCCTCTACAACTGTGTAGTTACAAAGGGTTAAAGGCTACTGAAGAAAGTTGCAGTTATCTGTAGAGTTTGGGGAAAAGCCATTGTTATCAAACATTTAACTTATGCTTTCACTAGGGATAGGTTTTGTTTCAACTCGTTTAATCATGTCAACTGCATGTCCATCCAGTTCTTTGGAGTCCAACTAAGATTGGTTCTTGTAAGCAGGTTGTCCATTCATGGAAGTAGCCAGTATTGTAGACTCAACGGTGATGTTGATTTAGGGTGCTACTACATTTTTGGCCGAGCTTGCTATCATATGAAAAAAAACTCCATCATTTTCTCCACCAAAAGAATCTTTATTTATGGTTGTTTAGGGCCTGAACATAAATAAAAAACCTGGCTTCATTTTCTTTCTTGGTGTATATCTATGAATAATGATGTTAAACACCATGTACCTTGTGTAGGTAGATGTCACCGAGTGAGCGCTGTTGCAAACAATGCAAACATGTTTTTGTCTGGTTGTGTTTGGGAGCAGAAAACAGACAACCAAGGAGAATCACGATTATTTCATTTAAACATTCTGATGGATATTTGATGCTTTTTCAATCAAATAATGTAAACTTTTCTGTTTACTTAATTTCCTCTACATTGTATTCAGTCTTTTTTCCGTGCCCAGAGCAAATTAGTTTTAAAATTCTCTCAGACAATGAATTGACCTTGATTGTTATGGGTGCTGTGTTCTCAGCTCCCACACTGTTTACCGTACCTGCTCAGCTTAGCCTACGGCAGGTATGCTCAGGGATGCCAAATAATGGGAACAAATAGAGTGGGTAATGATGACAAAAGAAAAGACAGGCCTTTATCAACAAATGTTAGAAGGTTGCAAGAATAAGAAGAAGTGAGCAAATATTAGAAGGATGTAGGAATAATAAGAAAGGAAAAGTAGGCGCTGTGGAAGCAATGTTCGCATTCTGTAAACTCTGACACAGTAGGTGTACAAGACCAAAAAACACTGTGCCCAAAAGCAAGTAAGTGAAAGGTTATATTGACTACCAACGGTGGAATTGCACTTTTTAATAGAAGCTTGTTAGCTGAGAGTTATTCTGAATAGCTATAGGAGAGATTGTGGGCTTGTGTGAGGGTTAGGCACCTACACAATCACAAAATCTTGCTAAAAAATCAAGCCTTTTACTTCATGTCAAATTATACAGAATGATCTTTGGCCAGTTTTCTGTCAAATTGGAGTTCCTTTTTACTCTGGACTTCCTTCAAATGAAAGATGACCCAAAACGGATTAATAGAATCCATTCTTTGATTCCTGTGCCAAATAGTTGAGATTGTTTCCAATGCAAGTTGTTTTATGGTGATAGTGGGCACTTCTAATATTAATATGATATGAAGCAAATTTGGAATGATAAACTTCCCCACATATGATAATCCAAATATTTTCTTTCTCTCCACTTCAATTGGGATGGGAGTAAACAGATGTCATGTATGGGGAGGCACTTTCTTTTTTCCTTTTTTTCTATGATTAAAAAAAAGAAAAATGTTAACAGAAATTCATCCACTTTCAATCCTACATCATGCCCACCATGCTCTTGCATTAAGAGCTTTTTGCTCTCTCATTTTCCTTTGTTTTGTCAGTTTTGTGTGAATGATGTAAACATTTTATTGACAGTTTGGGTTTTTTTTTTTTAAGTTTAGATGTACACCTTTTCTTTCTGATTTTTTTTCTTCTCATTTTTGTTTGTTTTGCCAGGTCCAGATCTTCCAGTTTATGTATATGTGATCCTTGTATAACAGGAGATGAGAACAGTGGATATTGTTTTGTTTTAATTATTATAAAAGATGAATTTTTAAAAGATTTCTTGTCTGTCAAGATATTCAGCAGAGAATATGAGACAAAGTAGTCTAGAGAAGCTGTTGTGAGGCGTTTGCTTTTAGCTCTTGATTTAATGGTTGTACGGTTCGGAAGACAAGATTCTTTCTCTGCGGTTGTGACTTGTGTCTTGAAGTCTTTGTTTGAGGTGATTTGATTGGTCAGTTGTTTGTCATCAGTTTCTGATAAACAAGCTTGGGTTTTGAACGATGCGGAGAGATCGGAGAGTTCCTCTTCAAAAAGGTTGTTCTCCTACGATTGGAAACCTTCCTGATTCATTTATTTATTTCTTAGAAGAAATTGCGATGCTGTTGATGAATTTTGTCTGAAGTTCACGTCTGTGAAGTCAATTGCAATTATCACTCATTTGGTTACCACATAACCGTTGATAGCAGTTACTCTCTGAACATACACTAGTCAGCCCAGTTATAAACTATTTTCATATAATTTCTTAAGGATTTGTTTAAATCTCAGTCCAGTGATGGTAAAGAGATGGTAAAGAGATTTTTTTTTGTATACGTCTACATGTGTTTCATTTTACTTAATAATAAGTAAATTTCGTTTGGTGTCACCCTGGCAGCAAAAACATAAAAGGGAACATATTCCGAAAAGAGGGAATTAAATTAAAGTTATTTCTGATTTATTGAGGTTTGTGGATCATATTTGGAAAGAAAGACATCAAGTTCAAATTATGAATTGAAGAGACATTACATGAGGGCAAAAACACTTTCTATCTGTCTCTGATGTCAAGAATTTCACTCTGAAAGCACATGCTTGTGCCCACAAAAATGAAATCTAAAGAATTATTTATTATTCTTGTCAGTTTGATGAAACGCTCAAACTAAAAGTTGAATAATTGATTTTCTCCAATAAGGTGAAGTTTACAATCAGTTGTACCTAATAATCTATTCAATTATGTGTTAATATTATTTACTGCACTCAAATGGTTGCTAGTGTCAAACCTCGTCAGGAAGTAGTACCACATTACCTTCATTTTCGTTTAATGTGTTTACCATTTCATTTGTAGAAAAAGCAGTTAAACTGATGTTGTTTTAAGCAGGGTTTTAAGTTATTACATTGCAAACTTTTGATATTTGGTCTTATTGTGCTAGTGTCTCAGTGTAAAGGTGGTTTTCTTTTTCAGATAGTAACCATAGCTTTTTGATATCATTTTCACAAATAATTAATAATTCTGTTCTTTTTTTTTTCTCTGTATTTTTCTCATGTTTGTATAAATCCAAAAAGTTAGTGTGCTGGCCACACCATGAGAGAGCTTAATGAATTTTCATCTACATGTCTTGTCAGAAGCAAAAGGACGTTTTGGAATACTAGACTAGGACAAATTACAAACGGAAGTCTTCAGCCAAATT